CTCACCAGATTATCCTTTAAACACTTCTAAAATAAGATACTATGTGATAGCCAAGGATTTCTTCTATATATTTTTTATTATTTATTCGACCATCTATTTTTACCAATAGACTTAATATATGCTATGAGAAACTCTTCTACATCATAATACCACTTCTATTATATTTTACAGTAGAAACAAAATAACTTACCTTTTATTTTTCTTCTTGAATATGCCAAACTCAAATTTTTCTATCATTTTGATATATTGCAAATTTGGATTCATCACTCTATACAACATTTTTCCAGTTATTAATAGTTCATGAACGTCTTTTATGAGTCTAATTTAATCATATTTTTCAGTTAGGCTCACTAACATTGGGTTTTCTAAAAGTAATATGACCATTATATCACATTTCAGATAAGGTATTTTTATAGTATTTTTACATACTTCTTTTCTTATTGATTCAGCAAACGTTTTTACTAATTATCTGCTAAACATGATGGTTTTGAATAATGATAGTTTTAAAATGATGTTTATCTCATTTTGCTAATAATTTTAGACTTTCACTTCATGAAGCAACCAACACTAATAGCACATATTTCATTATATTTTGATATAATATTATAAATTGTAATTTTACTATGACCTATTTTTTGGAAATAGCTTTTTTTGATTCACCAGTATTATAGAAACCAATTATTATTTTGCGTTCAAAATCTGTAAGCTCTCTTATTTTAACTATTTTGCGAAAAATAAAAATTTAAGATCGAAAAGCATGATCTACATAACAATCATTATTTATTGATAATTATATGATACAAATTTTAGATTATACAGATGTATTAGTATTTATTTATTGCAATTTATTTGCAGATCTCAGGATAGTCATAAACTTATTAGCCCAGAGTATGTATTAGAATTAATATATGAAGTTTTTTTATTTGATAATGAAACTCATGATTTTCAACTTAATTTAGATATTTGTAAAAATAATCTTCCTAAAGTCATTAAAATACTTACATTATTATATAGATTTAATAAAAATGTATTAGGATATAAATCCATTAAAAAGACCAATTGCATCAGAAATTAAAAAGATTATTAAAAATTGGAAATATAAAATCGTTAATAAAAATTTTGATAAAAAATTAATAAATAATATTATAAAGATTTATAAAGAAGATAAAATATTAAATCAAAAGCAAAGTAATAATACAAATAATAATATTATTACTGTTAAATCTCATATAAAAGCATATTATACAAGTTAATTGTTTGATTTTACTAAAAGAATAAAAGAAAACTTAAAGTCAAAATATTATAAATACAACAAAAATTAGTTAGAGCATTGGTAATTATATTTATATTATAAATTAAAAATATTTTAAATTTTTTATATTTATATGTTTTTTAATTTATAGAAAATTTAATTATTATAGATGATAAATAATTATTTCTAGTTTAAAATAAATAGTTATAAAATTTTATTTAATAAATTCTTAATATTTTGAAAAAAAATTAAAATATTTATTATATTTAATTTTTATATATTATAATTTATTTTATAATCAAATTTTATAAATATTTATTTAATAAGCAATAGAATATATAAAGTAGTTATTATACAATAAATAGTAATTTGTAATTATTAAATAAACAAATTACCTTTTTATTCTATTATAATTAAATATTAAATTATAATTATTTTATAATATAGTTTTAATTGATTTTTTATAATTTTTTTCAGATATATTTGGGTAGTATACTACTAAAATTGAGGTACTAGACATAGTAAATCATATGATTTTACCTTAATTTTAATAGTACACCACCTATTTATAGATATAATATAAATTTTAAACATAAATTATTTATGAATATAAAATAAAATATTTGAAAAATACAATTTTTAAATATAGGATTTTGTGTTGTTTAATTACTATATTTTAAAGAATTTGAAATTTTTGTAATAGGATTAGTAATTTTAAATTTGATATTGATCAATTTTAGATAAATTATCAATAAAATTAATTAATATATTTAAAATATAAAATTTTGACTTTTTTATTTTTTTTATACATATAAATTTCTTAAACACTTTTAAATTATTTAAATTACATAAATTATATAATTATTTATTCAAGAATACCTTAATTTTATAAATTTTAGTAACTATTTTATATTAAAAAAAAATTAATAGAAATAACAAGTTATGTATTTATTTATATATGAAATCAAAATTAAAATCTTAATATTAAAATAAAAGATATAATGATCAATATACTTTACTAGCTTTAAGTTGCTTTAAAAAAAATAAATATAATTTATTATTAGAAACTATTTTAATATATTTATTATATTTACTGAAGGTATAATAAGTTTAACATTTGAATTTTCATCATTTTTACTTTTTACTTTAAATAAATTATTTTTAAAAGAATTATTTGAATTTTTTTAGAAGAAGTATCTGAAGTATCTGAATTATTTTCTGAATAATTCGTATCAGATTCATTATCATACTAAAATTTTATTAAATCATAAATTAAAATTATTAATAAATAAAAGAAAAATTAAAATTAAAAATTAAATAATATTACATTATTATTTAATTAATTTTCTAAAAAAGTGATGTTATTTATTTGTATTATTATTATTAATATATTATAAATTTTATTATTATTTATTTAATTATAATATATTAAATAATTAAAAAATAAATATTATTAAAATAATACATACTTTAGGCTTATTATTTTGCTTAATAGATACATTATTAGGTTTTCTTCAAAAAAAATGGAATCAATCTATTGTAAAGCATATAAAAATCCCAAATTACTTTTAGGTTTATTTACAAATCTAGTTAATAAGAAGGTTGGTTAGTAGTATGACAAATAGTAGTATTTATTGCTTATAAAATAAATCTTAAACCAAGATGCCATTTAATAGTATTATTTATTTCTATCTATTTCCCAATTAATTTGCCAATTTCACTATTACGTCTTTCAATTAATTCTTGAGATAGGGGATATCTAGGTCCTCCATTAATATTTTTAAATTATTCTATAAATTTGAAAATTTTTTATTATTTTATATGTAAATTATTTTCTATTATCAGATTGAAGAATTGTTAGTAACCCAATTTTAGTAAGCAAATTCAAATAATAATAATGCTATTACATTAATTTTTTTAGATAAAGAAGAAAATTGAGTTAATGATCTTTAATATGTAAAGTATATATTTAAAATTTTCATTAAATCATTAAAATCCATTTAAATTTTAATAAATTGTTTTAGTTTTTAATATTTTTAATATTTTAAAACATACTTTATAAGGACTATACCTGTAAACAAGATAAAAAATTTCTAGCATTAATTGTTTTTCTTATTTCTTCATTACTAAATTTTCTATTTACACAAATAGCACAAATAGAACAATTCTTAATTCTCACAAATAAGTTAAATTTTTTGTTAATATTACCCCATTCATTACGCAATTTGTCATATGTTCTAGCTATATTTTTGTGACTAACATAAGTATAGGCTGAAAAAATATTTTCTTTAATTAGAACTGGTAATAAGCGAATATTTTTGTTGACACCATTTCTAGCACCTGCTGTTATATAGCAAAAATGTGCTCTTGCCCATCTTTTAAAATCAGCATCTTGCCAAGAAAAATGCCATCATATGTATTTTAATCAATTAAATGAATATTGTTATTTGTTCTTATTTTTTAGAGAATTGGTATATGAAGCAATAAGTTTATCAAAAACTTCAGGACAAATAAAACTAAAAGCTTTGTTATTGTGAAATATTAAGGAAAAAAAATTGGCGGCATTTTTTTTTAAAAAAATTATATATTTTGCATACTAAGATTAATTAGGAAATGTAAATCAATTTTGAATATTCTCAAAATCAACAATTGGGATATTGGGATATCCGAAGTGATATTATCCTATTTGGGATATCCCAAGTGAGCATTTGGGACATTATCATTACGGTCATTAACGCATTTGGGCTACAACAGCTACAACTACACCAAACAAAATCTTTCAAATTACTGCTCCATTAAAAATAGTGAACTGGTCAAAATAGTTCTAAATATGCCAACGTAAAAAAGTATCAAAAAGGAAGTATTTTTATTATTTTTCATTATGCCAGATGATATTTCTATGTCAAAGGGAAGGGTCGTGCAACCTTTCAATAAATTAGACGTTAATTCCCTATCCACAATAATGTAATGTAGAACAATGAGCTTTAAAAAGTAACTGAAAATACATATGTAGTTCTTTTATGTTTATGGGTTAACTATTTGCATATGTAGATAATAACGAAATACAATGAATAAAACATTATTGCGTAAATATGCGTTTATCAATTATAAGTTTTGTAATGATTACAATAAAATGTGGAACACACTCTTTCACTCAAGAGAAATCCCACCCGTTTATACCCGACTTATTGTTCGGAAATTGGCCGAAGAACAAAACATGGACTTTATTATTAAATAATTTTTTGAAACAAATGAATTTGCTTTATCTTTGTATAATTAAGTTGAATTGTTTTGTTTCTTTCCTTATAATTAAATTATTTGCTACTTATTTTGCGCAAAACTTCGGAGGTGTTTCTATGTTATGAGAATCTGAGAATCTCAGTTCAAAAAGTGTATGGAAATTCGTTATTTGATACTCGAAAGAAAAAATTATTTGTTTAACAATGTATTTTTTTATTTTAATATCAATTTTATTTATAAATCTTCATTAAAAAAGGAAGTTAAAATAAATAATGATTTTTAATGCATTGATCTGAATATGAATAATTAGAAAACTACATATCATTAACTACTCTTCTACATTGTTGCTATGCTACCCTGATGTTTCATGTAAATTAAAAAAAAAACGAGTTTTAAAGTATTTCGATCATTAGTTATATTAATGGAGAATTAAACCAAAAGTAACTATGTAAAAATTTTAAATTATTCAAACAATTGTATTATTTCTCATTTCCGCTTCTGCTGATAATTATATATTATGGTTTCTTTCAGTAAATACAAGTTTTAGATCAATAGGCCTTAATAAAAATTGAGGTTCAAACAATATCTTGTTCTTATGAATGCTGTCTTCAGGAAGGGTCCATTTATACTTGAGCACTTTAATAAAGATTATTATTAAATTAACTTTAAAAAATCCTCTTTTTTTCAAAAAATATCAACCAAGTATACTTACAAAACATTGAAAGAATAACTCTTTGTTCCATCAAAGTAAAGTTTTGACCAATACTTGAAAAATTATAAAACAAAATACCAATGAATAAATTATTTAAATTTTTTGAATGATTTCTTAATAAATGTACTTACCAGTTTCTTACACCGGAAGAAAATGGGATCCAAGAAAATGCGTTAATATTTTCATTATTTAAAAATCTTTCAGGATTGTATTGTTTAGGGTTTTCCCAATATTTTGGACTATTGTTAATTTGCCAAATATTAATTGAACAAACAGTTTCCGCTGGTAGAATATAGGGACCAATTTTCATTGGCTTTGATAATTTTCGAGGGACTATTGCTGTAGCTGGAGGATAAATTCGTAAGGCTTCTTTAATAACTGCATTGATATATTTCATTTCCTTTTTTTAAAAAAAAAAATAATGTGTTGTTATAGTTAATTTGATTTGAAAAATGTAAAAACATGAAACTATATAAGTTACTTTTAATTGTTCCATTGTAGGCGTAATTGGCTCATTTCCAAGTATACTAATTACTTCTTCACGTGCTTTTTCTTGCATTTCCTATGTAATTTAAAAAAAAAGTCTATTAAAGATCCAAAAATAAAAACGGCTTGATAATTTATTTATTAGAAGCTTACCGGATATCTTGCAAGGAAATATAACGAAATGCTTAACGCCGTTGAAGATGCTGTTGTTATCATTATCATTATTAAATATGTTTGACTATTAATCATAAAAATATAAAGGAAAAATAATATTTACTGTCATGTCCCGCAACGAAAAAGCCCACCATCTCATCTCTTAACTGCTTTGAATCAGTATGAATACCCTCCTGGTTAATAAGCTTCAGCATACTTGTTAGTAAGTCGATTCGGCTATTATTTGAACCCTTCTTATTCTCAATATCATTTCTCTTTTCCTTAATAATGTCAGAAATGAACTCATCAAATTCTTTATTAGCTTCAAAGTATTTTCTATTTTGATCTGTCGGTAATTTAATCAACCAAGGAAAAATGAGATAATAAACAGATTCTACTGTATTAAATATATTTTTATAAACATTTATAATGTGAGGAGTTTCAGCAGAATCAAAGCACTAAAAAAAAGATATTTCCCGAATATTTGTTTTTTGATTAATAAAAATTCGGTATAAAATTTATGTATGTAATCAATACTTGCACCAAATCTATATCCAAATGCCAATTTTCCAAGAACTTCAATCGTTATACGTTGCATGGTTTCGAATATATCAATCGGTCTACCTAAATCTTGTTTCATGAAATTAAAAAGTTCAAAAGTAATTTCCCCAACGATATCAGGGGACAAGGCTTTATTGAAAGCAGGATTGGCTAATTTTCTAAAAGTCCGCCATTTCTATAAAATGGATCGAATCAGGTCACTATAAATATCGGTTATTAAATATCACATTATGTGATTTTAATAGCAATTTATACGTACGTCACCATTCGAAAATATTAAACCATCTCCGAAAAATTCTCCCACAATTCTTCCTTTATTCAAATTAATTTTTGGAGGATCATCATCCTCTATAAAAATAATTTTTATTTGGTGGTTGAAATTGGGAATTAACATTGCATTATGGTTTTTTTTAAAGCATTAAAACTTACCTATTTTTGTAAAGAAATTTTTAAGGTACAAAGGATTATTGATGTTTAGGACTGTTCGATTTAAAAAGCGACTCTAAGAAATAGATTATTCAAATCAATGGTTCAATAATAAATAAAATCAGGATAATATAATATTTATGTAATTTAACAAACCAAATAAATATCATAACCTCTTGAAGATTCTGCAATCGTATCTTGAATTACGTCATGATTCTTTTGTAGTAATAAAGCCCATATTGTAGACCAGTTAGAAATAAATGGTATACCTTCAAGTTCTTTTGGTATTTTATTTTTATTTATTTTATTTATAACATGAATGAAATAAGCGATTGTAGCAAAAATAATGATAAATGTAATTAATGCAAACATTTTTATGGACAAAGTATTTCAAAAAAATAAATTAAATATATTTGTATCGCAAAATTTATTTTGGTTCCTGTTATAGGATTTAAATCCGGATCGTCATAATCGAGGAGAATATTTTTTTAATTTCTCAAAAAGGAAACCCTTATGTTAAACATTGGAACAAAAACCTTTACCCTACTAAATAGCGAAAATATTTTCTATATTTAGCAAAATCCAATGAAAATAATAAAAAATAAAAATAAAAAAAATTTAAAATAATAAGGAATTGTGTAACGAACAATAGAAAACATCCGATATATCATCTAGTTAACTTAAATAGTTAATATTTAGTTGATCAAAGTTACTATCGAACAATGAAAGTTATTAAAACAAATGTATGATATAAACAATTATTTGACCACGCCAAAAATTTTTTTATATTAAGTTTCGTAATTTCTATTTATTTATTCATATAGTAAATATGGAAGATTGCTAAGAAAATCAGGTTGTAAATTTTTTAATAAAATTTTAATTTATTATTTTTATTGAATTTGGATAAAATATAATATTTTTTATTCAAAAAAAAAAATTCTCAGACTGACTGCACTCCACCGTTAAGTTTTAAAAGAAATTTTACAGAATTTTGTATCTTTTTATCATCATAAAAATTTAATCAAGTTGCTTTATTAATAAAATCTTCCGCTATTTTCGTTAGTCTTATCATATGAGATCCATTCCATATTTGAGGGTTTGACGGACGGATTAAATATTTACCAACATTAATTTCGAATTTCATCTATAATATAAAATCATGTTATGATGATTTTGATTTACTATGTCTCGCTCGTCTCGATTTTAATAACAAACACCCATATCTCGCTTTTATTGTACTGATAGTATCTAAATCATTATTACGAAACCTTTAATCTCTGGGGAAAATTCGATACAATTCAATTCCAAAATGGTTAAATTGAGAAAAAGATGAATTGTTCTTTTTTTAAAAAACAAATAGTTATACTTTTGTTTTTATTTTTAATTGATGATAGTAGAGATAAATAAATACACATTTAATTAATTAATGTATTAATCTTTCATTAACTTGAAATACCTCATAATCATCTACTTGAAACTCACCATTTGGGATATCAATTTGATCATAAACAGTTGGATTGTCAAACTGCCAAATATCACATAAACAAATATCTCCAAAATATGGACCACATTGTGGACTACAAAATACCCACACAACTTCATCTTTAAGCTCATCCAAAATATAACCTACTTTTGCAGTTTGAAGATTTGTTCTATTTACGAATGAGAATATAAAACTATCATTGGTAGATTTACGTTGATCATTTCCTTCCCACCCAAATGGACTATATCCTCCCACTATTTGTTCCGTTTCGTTAATTTTGATTACCACTATATTAGCTCCTTTGTTATCACATTTTTTATGAAATTCTGCTAATGTATTACCATCTCTACTGGCACGATAAAGTAATTTAAATCCATAAGGCGTCTTCTTGTCATTATTTACTTTCTTATCAATCCAATCGGAAAATATAGCAAAATGCCGAGTGTTGACTATGATTGACTCACACTTTGCAAGTCTAGGTGGTTGGACATTTTTATTAAATTTCTCATCTGGTGCCCAAATATGAGCTAAGAGATTAACTAACGAATCCTTTGGTAGTAATTCTTTAAAAGGAAGTACTTTTTCAAAAAAAATTTCTGAAGAAATATAATGAAATCTAACTAAAGGAATATGTTTATGAAGAGTTCTTTCCATAACTGTAGTTTCTTCGTTGCCCCATTCTTTGACATCTTTAGGAATAGACGGGTTTTGGGCAAAGCCCCACTTTAATAAACTATTCCAAATATCAATTTCATCTAAACATAAATCATCCCGTTTTAAAAGGAATTCTAATATTGGAGCTTTTATATTAATAAATTTATCAGAATAAAAAAGATTTTCTGGGACTTCACAAATCTTTTCTAGACAGAAATTATGCAATTTTGTGAAGGTTTCATGTTGATAAATTGTTTCAAGAATTCCTACAGGATCGTTTTGTAAAAATTCATGATGGTCTTTAATTAAATAATCTTCAATTTCAGGAACCAAAGATTGGAGATTAAGTGCATCTGTCACGTTTAATAGTGAAAATATTTCGGTTTCTTTTAATTTCGTCATGTCAATCCTTCCGCAATATAAAAATCTGAAATTTACAGTGATATTAGTAACTTGGTTTATATTATTGACGTAGTTGTTGTACTTTATTTACCTTAAAATTATCTTTAAAATTTTTGGATGAATGAAGGTTATTTTTAAAATAAATTTACCTTCCCTCATCTCAACATTTTCTTTAGTTAATTCATCATAAAAATATTGCGACCTGAAACACAAAATATTTGAAAGGGCATGTATTTCTTCAACGTTTTCATTTTCACCAGCATAAATAATGACATCATATCTTTTGTCATTTTCTAATAACCTTTCATAATCATTCTGCAAACGTTCTAAAGACATCTTGTACAGAAATTTAAAAATTGAAACAAAGAAACAAAAAGAAAAAGATCATTGAGAAATAAAATTCACACCAGTTGTTACACGACATTTAAGATTGTGTTGTGTAATTAGATGATCTTAGTGCGATAGTAATAATTTATCCCCATAAATATATTTGCTGTTTTATTACCGAAATAGGTAGGTGTGGAATTAAATTATCGAATTGGTTAAGGTTAAAGTTCTATAATATTTTTTAATACTAGCTAAATTTTCATTAGTCGTTTGCTATTAAAATCAGGTTTACGATACATAGTAAAATTATATGATCTGAACATGAATTTTAATAGCAAACCTTCCAAAAAAATAAAACATTTAAAAAGTAAGATAATTAATCTCGTGTTACTGGCGATATATTTAACATACTCAATTAAGCCGTATACTAATTTGTATTTGTTGTGTTATTATATTTTGTTCAATGTAAATTTTTTATATTTCTTATTAGAACTGTCGTGACCTTGATCGAAAAGAAGTCATTAACTTTATGTCAAAAAAATTTAAAAACAAAAGAAAAGTAACACATAAACGATATTATTCAGAATCGAAGAAATAATAATAAGCTTCTATAAGTAACGAAAATAAAATAAATTCTCGTATATACCAAAAGAACCTTCTAAAAAAAAGTGAAATTTCATACTAATAAAAAAAAAATAAGGAAAAAATAGTATTGTAGGAAAACACTACACCACCCTAACAGAGAGTTTAAATATATCTAAACGATGAAAAAAATAAACACGAATAATTAAATTGAAGGATCAGGTCATCTTTATTAAATAGATTCAAAGAAAAATGAATTATTAATGTGTAAGGATAAGTTTTAAAAATAAATGTTATTGATTTATTAGAGAATTGCAACGAGTTTTCCCTTTTATCAAAACAGAAATACAATATATTTCTATAAATATATTAATAGTAAATTGATATTAAAAAATATAAGAAATGTAGTAAATATAAAAAATTAAATATATTAGAGAAATGTGAGAAATTAGAAATCATTAAAATATTATAGAAATAAAACAAATTAGAGAAATAATAAAAATAAAAAAATTAGAGAAAGTTAAGATTTGTGATCATTAGGATTATCATTTGCTAATTGTAATTAGCACAGTACTAATGCGTCATTACTAAACTATCACCAATAATATATAGTTGTTTTGTACCTTAAGGGATAACATAAATACTCTATTAAGATTCTTTCTAATTCACGCATTATAAGTAAAAAAATAATAAAAATATCCTTATTGATGACTTAAGAATAACCTGATTAGAAGCTAAACATTAATAAATTGATATCAATAAGAATAATCCTATTGATATCTTTATAATACACTGATTAGAACTCTAATATTCTCTATTTATATCATTATTCATCATTAATCAGGATTATCTGATTTTAAAAAAACAAAAAATTAGAAATTAATCAGATCAAATTTAGCAATATAAATTTGATCTGATTAGTTTCTTAAACTTTATTGTGTTAACATCAGAAATCAATCTTATTTTACAGATTATCAGTAACTTATAAAATAATGATATAATAAGTCTATCAAATACTATGCCTAATGATCAACAATAAGACCCCTAATTTCTTTAATTCTGAAAATTCATCTGATAAGTCTGATATCCATGATTTTGCTTATTTTATTATTTTTTATTATTTTTTATTATTTTTATTATTTTTATTATATTCATTATAACTATTATTTTTATTATATTTTTATATTTATTATATTTATATATTAGCAATTATTTAGTTAGTTTATAGTGTAGCAATTTGTTAGCCATAGCAAATTAATTTTGTATAAATAGAATAGCTTTTTGCTCAAGTTATAAATTAACTCAATTGTTAGTTTATAACTTTTTGTAAATTACATAACTCCTAAGTTTCAAGTAATAAAGAAATCAATTTTAAAATATAATTACTTTTTCTTTTATATCACTAGTCAAACAATAACAAATAGGAGACCAATTGGGTCAAATCTGGATTATCAGATTTGATCTGATTAGTCTCCTATTTGTTTATTTTTTGTAATTTTATAATTGTTTATTTATATAAGTAAGTAATACCGATTAATTATAATAAAAGAATTTTATTATTGATATAATTTACATTAATATTATACTTTAATTATAAAAAAGTACAGTAAACTATTAAAAGTCACTGGGCACTTAAAAATTAGAAAATCGACGGAAATAGTTCTTTCAAATAAAACATTTTATTTTATTAATTTAATCATTTTTGAAATAACATGTAAATTTATGCGCCATAACGAATTGCATATAATTTAAAGTTTTTATGGATATCTGATCAATAGTAAAATATATTATTCATTTAATATGATATTGTTATGTTTTAATACAAAATTTCAGTTATAATTGAACATAAATTTTTTCAGCTATAATCATTTTTATTCATTAAGTAAACTTATTCGTCTAATTAAAAAATAAATTTCTGCCAAAT